TTTTGAATAGAAACCATTAACATTAGAATATTTAAAAATATAACATTTCTTGGTTTATTAAATCTTTAAATTTCAACTTGAAATATCCGGTTTATCGAAAACCGGATAATGTTATTATCCGGCCAGATAACGGATATTGAATAATATTGCTATCCGCCCGGATATCCGGCCGGATAGCTTATCCGGGACACCTCTAGTAAAAGCATTTAAGTTCATTTTTTTGAATTTTTATTCGTTATATCTCGTTCAAATGAATTATATCCTGAATTATTTTAAACATTTATTAATTGGATTGGATTTAAAGACTTCGGCAAAGCAATAGAACAAGCAAATTAAAATTTAAATGTTTATTGTAATGTAAATCCATAAGTTCAGATGCTGTTGCATTTTAGCAAATTTTTAGTAAAATCACCATTTATTTTGGTCGCATGATTTCAAAAAAATGTTCTAAGATTAAATTTAAGCTTGAAATACAGTTTTATAATTTTGTGTTGACTGATTTAGTCAATACTCTTAAAAATCAATTGTTAGATATGCAAACAAAGATTTAAATGAACTCTTTATTCGGCTTAATTTGAAAATGTTTAAAAAAAGACTGCGTATAAATTCCTAAAACTTGGTATTAAAATTAACAATTAAAATTATGTTCAACTAAACACTAACAAATTTTATATTTAAAACACATTAGTTTGCATAAAAGAGTCTCGAATTAGGTCTAATCGTTTTATTACTATAGATCGTTATATTTTTAACAACTTTAGCAGGTATTTTTTTTTTTTTTTTTTTATCAATTTATTTTGTTTGAAGCTAGTTTTGCGAAGGTTCTTGAAATTATCTGTTTCTTATTTTGCTGTTTTGTATTCATAATATTGTAATCCGGAATGCGCTTGGGTAGGCTGAGTGCATACTGGATTACAATGTTTTGAAGTAAGATTTGTTATTTTTTGTGATATAAAAATTGTGAATTTTGTTTTTAGTTGTTTTTGAATTTAGGTGATGAATTGCTGGTTGTTAAAATCTGTATTTCAGCCACTGTTTGCATTAACTTTTTATATTTTATTGGATGTCTAACTTGTACAATTTATGATTTTTACTCGTTTTTTGTCAATACGCATAAAACTTTTATTTTATTCTTCTTTTCTGGTTTTTAAAACGTTTTGATGTAAACTGATAAATTATTTTTGTCAATACGGTTGTGGCGTTTGGTAGAGCGCTAATTTTTGAGAATTGATTTTTGAGTTCTACCCCTACCAGGCTTTCCGGAAAGGGGTAGCCTAGGGTATTCCTAGGGTATTCCTAGGGGTAGCCTAGGGTATATATAGGCTACTTCTGCCTTTTTGGCTGTGGTGGCAAAGGTAGCATGAATGTGTCTTTTTCTCGAAAATAGGTATGGTAAATTTTTGTGCTTTAAAAGCATTTCATTATTCAACATTTCATCGTCAATACTTTATTATCAAAATCTACCAACTGGAATTAGTAACAGGTGGGATAAGCGGTTATAGGTTAATTTTTTTTCAAATTTTTTAAAGAGAAACAACTCATATAAATAAATTGACTTTAAAGAATTTTTTGTAAATTGTAATCACTTTTAGAACTATTATGTTTTCAAAAATCAATTCGAAATTAAATAAAATATGTTATATAAAGTTTTATTCTTGCTATCGACATATGTCACAACCTTTTTGTTATTATCCTTTGACTCTTAAAATATATTCCAAATATTTCTTAGTAGATGTTTTGCAAAAAAGCAACAGCTTTTTGAGTTTGTATTTTCATTTTCGATGATTATATTCGACGATTATTTTCGACCATTATTTGCGTACAAATTTATATTTCTTAGTACTTTATTTCTTAATCGTAATCTTAATTTAAATGTAACGGTTTGTAACGAGCAAATCTGTAGCAGCATGTATCTGTAGCTGTAGGTTTGTAACGAGCAAATCTGTAGCAGCATGTATCTGTAGCTGTAGGTTTGTAACGAGCAAATCTGTAGCAGCACTAAAAAATCACAAGGACTCCAATGTTTATAAGGCGGCAAGTGCTCTAAAGATTGAGAAAGAAAATATAAAGTTTTTAACAATTAATGCTCAATTGACCAAATGTACATGAAAAAGCAAACAGTTCAAAGAAAAGGCTTGATAGCTCATTTCAACATTGAAAATATTGCTTTGACAGGATGTAGCTGTAAGAGGTGATAATGATGAAGAATCAAACATTTACCAGTTCAATTTGGATAACAGTAAAAATTAAAAGGCACTAGAAATGTTGATGAAACTAAAGGTTTATTATCTTAGCTTTCATCAGTAAAAACACTTTTTGAACCGCAAAGGTCTTTTGAATTTTTTGCTATTTTAGAGAATCTATCGAAGCAGTTACAAGAAATTAATCTGACAAGTGATGTAGCAGTATTCTGCGTTCGAAATGCGTCTCAGAGGTTTTCAGAACTTAGAACAGATAAGGAATTTAATAGAATTTTAAAGGCGAAAAAAGAAATACTTGGAAACAAGCAAGACAATGATTCTGAAACCGAAGTTACGCAGAGACAAAGAATAATACTTGAAACATTACGCAATTTAGTAATTATTAAGAAGCTTACATTGGGCGGTGCAATGACTGGTCCTGTCAAATCAGAGGAAAAACAAAGGAAATATTATTTTGAAGCCATTGATGCTATTCAGAACAGTTTAAGTTAGAGATTTGAACAGGAAGAATTAACAGCTGTAAAAAATACAGAAGCAGGTTTGATTTCATCGGTGAATAAAAAGATTCCCTACCGTTTTATTTGGAATGCTATTTTTAATGAGGTTGACATCTTAGAACTAAAAGTTGAGTTGAAAGGTCTACCAGCAATTATTACACTGTACAATGCTATTGTATCAATCAAAATACTGAGTGTGTCCAGAGTGGCAACAACTGCAGATATTTTCAATGCCAGCTGAAAAGTCGCCAATAAACAAACACACAAATTAATGAAGTTTTGTATCAACATCATCATGTGAAAGAAGCTTTAGTGTAATTAGGAGAATAAAAATATGGGTTAGGTCACAAACTGGAGACAATCACCTGAACAACACTATGATAGCTCAGATACACAAAAAACAAATCGACAAAATAAACATTAAAAAAAATTGCCATAAGGTTTGATGAAATGAATGACGGTAGAATGAATTATTTCGGCAAATACACTTAAAACGGTTCTAGCACCTTGTAAAGCTAAGAATAGCATAAAATGAAATGCACTATTGACATCTAGAAAGTAGCTAAGAAACAGTTTATTTAGCAGGCTGTTTAACTAAATGTTATAACCTTTATTACTAATTGCACTGTACACACGATTCGTAATAGTAAAAGTAGTAGACAAAGTGACATTCTTTGTATATTTTTTGGAGAACGATAGGGTTAATTAAAAGATTTATTTATATTAGATATTATATATAGTAAAATATTGTGTTGATGTTGTGGCAAGCGCATTAGTTTTTGTTTGCCACCCCTGCCCTTAGGCCCTTCTGGCGTACCTAATCTCTACCTTCCGGCGTGCCTGATCCCTACCTACGTCTCTATTAGTACCACGCCCAACTCCGCACAGCCTCTTTGTTTGTTAAGATTCGTGTTAAAGAGTTGAGAAAGGTTTGCAACCAATGTCGAAGAAAAAAAAAGTAAAGCTTGCCAAGATCTCCTGACGTGATCTTGGCAAGACGCATAGCTAAAAAAAACAATCTTCAGTATTATTTTGTCATAAGAAATCCTTATAAGTGCTTATGAAGTTTAACATTTTCAGTCAAAATAATACACTTAGCAAAGACCAAATTGTTAATCAGATTTTAAAACCAAGATGTCAATTATTATAAATAATTGAAATCTTGATTTTAAAATCTGAACTTAAAAATTGATAAAGTATAAGTAATGATAACATGGGTTAGGTCAAAAACGGGAGGCCTGAAGAACATCGTGTTAGCTCAGATACACAATAAACAAATCGACAAAATAAACATTAAAAAAAATTGCCATAAGGTTTGATGAAATGAATGACATTAGAATAAATTAAAATATTAAAAATAAAAGCTATATTTTTAAATTTTATTGGACATAAAAAATTGAAGTCTGCAACTTTATAAAATATTTGCTTTAATTCATCCACAAAAGTGTTCACGTTTTAAATCGCCTAGAGAAATGTTCATGTCAAATAAAATTATAAATATAATAAAGAGATAAATAAAATGACTTTCATTTTTTAAAATTATTTAGAAAAAGTATTTTTATAATAGCTATTAAAACTGAAGATAGAGAGAAATAAATTTTGATTTTTTGTAAATTGGGAAGAAGTATTACAAACTCAAATCGCGAATAAGTTTATTCAGAATAGAGCTCTTTCATAAAAAAATAAGTTTATTCAGAATACAGCTCTTTCATAAAAAAATAAGTTTATTCAGAATACAGCTCTTTCATAAAAAAATAAGTTTATTCAGAATACAGCTCTTTCATAAAAAAATATTTTAAAAAATATAGAAAAAATAAATTATTGGATTACTCCAGAAAGAAAAAATCGTCTTTGAAAAAATAATTTTTATACGGGAATATTTCTAAAATAAAGTTTGAAAACGTACTAATGTATAAAAATGTACATTTAAATTAATTATAAAGTATAAAAATGTATATTTAAATCAATTATAAAGTCTTCTTTTTAAAAAGCGTTATTAATCAAGAAACAAACTTTAGTTGAAGGGGTACTAAAAAAATTGATTAGGAAATTAATTATTCAGGTGCCCTAAGTATTTCTAACAATCATATCACAGAACAACGAAGAACAGCAATTAATTAGGAAGTTTACGCCTCTTTAATTGCTAATGACGCATGTATGGCTTGATTCGGCTTCGAATCACAAACCTTCAGTTCTTAAGCCAGAACTCGCCGCTGCTTTGAAGTTTGAAATGGAGAAGACTAATATATTAAATTACAAGTTTTATTTTATGACAAATTGAACGAGAAAATTAAATCATTACCTTATACACAATTGTTCATAGATGAAGTCAATCAATAGGTACAGTTAACTCGATTAACATATTCAACCAAACCAACAATAGCAATAATAACAACAACAACAACAACAATGACAACGAATACTCAGCTAATAAATTAACTTAATTTAATTTAATAAAAGTAAAGGTTGTTTGTATCGCAATCACCTTTTTTAAAAGAGTTAAAAAATCAAAGCTGTAAACATTTTTCGATATTACGCTAAATTCTTTTTTTCTTTCCGTATCATATTTCGTAAAAGACATTTTGTAGATCTACCGCGGAAATATTTTTATCAACAGTCCTTTTTGCAAAATAGATGTAATGTGTTAATTTTCTTAACCAACAAGTTGACAATACTTGTTTCTATACTGTAATATAATAATTTTATCAATTAAATTGTTTTTTTGCATTGACTTAGACATTTCTGCATGTTTATCCATAGACATACACATGATAACATATTTGGATTAAACAAATGTAGTTCTTTTGTGCACTTTGAATAAGACATATTAAATGTATAAATGTTGTAAATCACAATTTGATTATATGCAAAACTAGAAAAAGAATATTGAATAAATCATGGGATATTTGGATTTGTGTGATCTTTACGCTCATTCATACAATTACCTGAACCTATCGATGACACAACATCTATTTTAATTTTTTTTTCAAGTTTGCTTTTTTTTAAATTATCATCTTTTACATACAATATTTTATATACATAGTATTTATCTTCATATTTATTTATTCGTCAATAAACTTAGATTTGAAGTATGATATTTTCACTCGATTTCTACTTTGTGAAATAAGTATATCTTATGGCCGACGACACGGGTTTCAAAGTGGAGTGACACAATCGTCAATTTCTCCAAAAAGTAATCAATATATAAAATTTTCTGAAAAAAAAAAAGACCTTTTTGAAAAAAAGTAGGGTGCTCCCTGCCCCTCTCCCCCTCCTTCCTCCCTAGTATCGTCGGCCCTGTACTTGCAAACTCTAATTTAGATGCCTCAAGAAGACCAAAAGGTCTTCTTGAGGCATTTACTTGACCTTTACTCAATTTTTCTTTAAATATGTTTAAGATTAACCTCTTAAGGTTAATATATTTAGAAAGATTTATAATGTTTACTATATTATTATTTTATATTTACTGTATTATAGATTATTACTTAAAGGGCAACCAAGCTTGATATAGCTAGTTTTGTTTAAAATACTTAATATTTGCTTTGCAAATAAGTATACTTTTACATTTTAAAGTGTGTCTGTTTTGCACTTTATAACTTTTATTCATATAACTTTTATGAAATTTATACTGATTTTATTTTTAGTTTCATTTAATAACTATTGACATTACAAAACTGTTGTGACATATTCCTAAATTTTTTTAGGAGAATTGCACGAGTTTGCATTTTTAATCAAATAAATATGTAGTTTAAAAAAAGAAGAAAAACAATAAGTTAAAAAATATCTATCATAAGGTTTTTCAAAATCATGTGTTTTCCAAATATTTTGGCAGATATAGTAGCTTTAAATTGGTTTAAAAAAACTCAAAACAATTCAAGTTATTTACAATATTTAAAAACAATAAACTGTTTAAAGTTGTATAAAAAAAAAAAAAAAAGACAGCGTCACCATTATACTTGAAACTCTGAACATGATTACAAAAGCCATACCAGACTATTATCAAGTCAACATAGCGTACAATGACTTGGTGAAAGCGTTTAATAAAGTGTCCTATTGCCGACGCATTCATAAAATAAGAGCATATGTCACAAAAAGTCAAATTATTGCATAAATTGAAGTTTAGCTCAGAAACAGAAAGCAAAGAATAGTGTTGGGTGATTCTATATCTGAATGGAAAAACGTTACTAGTGGTGTACCTCAGGATTCTGTACTCTTTTATTTATTCTCTATGTCAATGATTTACCAAGCTGCATACACCACTTTATAAAACCCTATGCTGACGGTAGTAAGATAATTGAAGTTATTAAGACGCCAGAAGGTGCTTATCTATAACAAAAAGATATCAATAATAAATTCCTATCGTGTACAAGTTGACATTTAAAATTAAATTAAAGAAATGAAGTCGTGAAATTTAATTGTATTAAAACAAAATCTAACGCAAAATATTTTATATCTGGATATAGTAAACCTAGATATTGTATATATAGATATCTGTAAATATCTGTATGTATCAGTATAGATATAGTACATATAGATATCTGGATATAGTATATAAGTAGTAAATATTTTATATCTGGATATAGAACATGGACAACATCAAGAAATTAAAATTACTCTTTCGAGAGAGATCTCGGAGTTTTGATTTACGATAATCTTTAAAAAAAAAGCAAGTTAAAGCAGCTGCCGCTATAGCAACTTGATTACTTGGTACTTTGAAATAAAACATTTGAAAGTAGAGACCTATCTCTCTGGAGGTCGCTTCACACTACCTACGTCCTCACACGTCTTGGTTTTGCTAATCAAGCTTGGTCACCCTATTTAAAAACGAATATCCAAACTCTGGAGCACATTCAAATAAAAGCAATAAAGGTTATAGCTAAAATAGCTTATTCTTAATAAAAAGAAAAAGAGCTGATTTTATTCAAGATTTTAGGTTAATCCAATCAATTACAATTTCATCATTTCGCAAAATGAACCACTACCTGTTGTTTCACTTGGAATCGATGGTCTAACGATCACACTCGGGGCCATAGTGAAAGATTAATGAGTACTTTAGTGGCAGGATTCCCACAACACCAAAATTTGTTTTTGAAACTATTTGAGTCGTTAAAATGTATGGTTACCTCAGAGTACATTAACGTTAAAGCAATTAAAAAATTTAAATCTCCAGTTGAACGCTTTTTTTACAAAAAAGGTGAAAAAACCTAACTGTATGCGTGTAGTTGGTTCTGTCAGATTTTCTTGAGATATAATTCATGAAATTAGTAATATTAACAAACTGTTAATTTCTAAATCATGCATGTTTAATAGAATCTTTTAAAAACCTTTTTGCATAAAGTTAATATAATTTTTTTTTTAACAAACTTTGTGTATACTTTTATGTTTAGACAAAAATAAATAGGTAATACAAAATACATAATAGTATTTTTGATTGATATGTGCATTTTCTAATGAAGATCTAAAGATTTATCTCAATTTATTGACTGTTAGTATTATATATATAATTTATTGACTGTTAGTATCATATATATATATATATATATATATATATATATATATATATATATATATATATATATATATATATATATATATATATATATATATATATATATATATATATATATATATATATGTATATATATATATATATATATATATATATATATATATATATATATATATATATATCTGGTTAAAATAACAAGGAAGTATTATTTATTAAAGTATATTAGTATAAAAATCTGCTGTCATAATGGCCAATGCCAGATGATAAAAAACATCCTCACACCATAATGCTACTGTTACCAGTTTTTACGATTGATATTTATAGTACTATGTGGATCATACTTTTTAGCTGGTGGTCTGCAGAAAAACTGCCTAATATCTTATCCAAAAAACATTTAGATTCTTCTGTCCATAAAACTGTGATCTTGAAAATAAACAGGTTTGCTTATCGTACGTGAGATTAAATTAAACTCTAAATTTTAATGGTGTTGCTGGAGATGAATGGATTTTTTTTAGCTTCACGAATATTTAATTTATCTCTCGCTCGTTTTTTTTTTAAACCTCTAGTTTCTACACATTTTTGTCGCTTAAGAGTGAGGTTTTGAACCATTCCAACTAAATGTTCATTTATTCTTGAAATTGGTCGCGAATTTGGGTAGAGGAGCAACCCACATGTTTATAAAGTATAACCAGTTGAAAAAAAAAATTGACCATTTCTGTATTAATTAATTTTGCACTAAACTTCTAGCTACTTTAAACAAAGTAGTTATTTGAGAAAAGTCACTGAGGGCTTAAAGATTTTTTTAAAGATAAAAGTGTTAACCTAAACATTATGAAAGTAAAAAAGAATCTTAAATTGTCATCACCTGATTTAAAGAAAACGAAATTTTCTATATGCTTAGGTCATGTATTTATTTTTCTTTTCCATCGATGTATTATATATATATATATATATATATATATATATATATATATATATATATATATATATATATATATATATATATATATATATTTTCCCATTCTATGTTGCCATAAAAGACTTTTCCTGAAAAAATTTTTGCAAAATTTTAAATTCTCTGACCTCCCTAGGAGTTTCAATATTTCATATTTATTACATTTTTTAGAGAATTTTTTTTTTTAGTTTGCACCGCCGGACCTATGCGGAGTTATAATCACAGCGCGCAATAAAAACTTTAAATTAACTAATAAAACAATTCAAAAATACAAGTTAAATAAGTCCACATTGCACATTTTCTAGGCCAACATCGTCAGTGTTATAATGTCTAAATGGGATTCGTGAACCTCTTAAGCAGAGTAGGGAGGCTCTAGTAATCTCCATGGAAAGACGTGTCCTTAGCCAATTTATAACAGCTCTGTACCGCTCACCCATTTTTAAGGACAGTTTTTGTGCGAATAGTTCCGTGAAGCGTTTGCATTCGTCTGCAAACCCAGCATTCTTACCAAAAATTAACGGGGTAAATGTCCCGTGTTCAACCTCTAGAACAGCGCGCAATAATAAATTTTATGAAACTGCGCTGCGTTTGTAACTTTTTAAATTTAAAATTGCAATATCAGCACGTTGAAATACTGAAATATTTTTATTAGGATAAAACCACGAAATTGGTTGCAGAACTTTGCCTACAAAAAGCGACGTTTTAAGATATTTTTATCACTGCTGCAGATTACTAAATTTCAAAAAAAAAAAAAAACACACCGAAATTATTTCCTGCCCTCTACTATGTAATGATAAAATATGTCAGCCCAAATGTGTTGTTTCTGCTTTTAGAAAACTGTGGCTTATGGGTGGTAAACCACACATTAGTTGCAGAAGTATTAGGTAACTATTGATTTAAATAATGTTTATAGTTTATTTTGTAATTATTGATAATTATTAATATAAAAATTTAAGCTGACAAATGACAAATGAAAATTTATTAAATTATTTCAGGGAAAATGTTTCCAAATTAATATATCATCACAAGAAACTAGTATGATATCGTTCAAAAAAACGGAAACACAAAAGCTGCATGAAAATAATTTTTGGCATTAGAAAAAGAATTGTTTGACATAGGGCACCCAAAACTTTATAAAATAATTGAAAAATTCGATCAAAAGATGCAAAAAAATGCGATATGAACAATGATAATTGACAAAATAGACAAAAAATATCAAAAAGTTTATTCCAACAGAGAGTTTCGCAAAAGGAAAGCCAAGGAGTTAGAGCAAAAGGAAGAATCTGCCACAAAAATCTCAAAGTTAAAACAATTTTCATCAAATAGTAATTGTATTAATGAAAATCAAGATTTATTTTTGTTAAAAAATTTTGATAATGAAGAATTTCAATATAATAATTATGATGAAATTGAAAAACAATCAACTAACATAAAACAAAATAAAGTGACAGTAACAGTATATATTGATGAACTTTAAAAAAAACTTTAACATTTTGTGGGCGTTTTGGAATTTCTGTTGGAGTACAAACAGGACTATTAGCATTATTTTTAAGATGTGGAAATATCAATCTTAATGAAGTAAAGCTTTCAAAAACAAAAGTAGAAAAAATAAGAAAAGATTTGTATGTAAGTGAATCAGAGTTAATTAAGGAAAAAATAAAAGAAAAATGTAAAAATAGTAATTTAATTTTGCACATTGATACAAAAAAAGTTACAACTTTAAATGAAGACTTTATTTCTGAAGTAAGCGAACGTTTAGAACGTTTGTTGTTACAAGT